TATTATCTTCCAGCCAGACCTTTGGATAATAAAGATACAAAAACAATGTTCCATATTTAATCTAAGATCTGCCTGCAAAGCATTGCCTTTAGTATTAATAAACTGATAAAGGCTGTATTGCGAAGAACTAACGGTCATTTTTAAATATCAAGATTTATTTGACTTATGTCACTGTTTAAAATAAGTTAGATAGAGATAAAATTGCGATTACGAGGAATTAACAAAAAAGTACAACGATTCATTGAAATATTATGACGTTTGACGTTTCTAAGAAGACCCACACCACGTTTTCTTGTGTAGGTACTGTATTTAGGTAGATAGTACCTAAATAATAAAATAGTTAATGAGCGTGCTTAATCTGAATGTAAATAAAGATTGCAAAATTCTTATTACATTAATCTTAATGTAATAAGAATTTTATCAAACAAACAACAAATATCTATTTGTGTCCTTTTAGGGAAACTGTTCATCGATCCCACTTTCCTGATAAGATAAAATGTAATATTACCTAATTATTCCGGTTTTCAAATATACTATACCTAATAATTAATAATTATAGATAATATGGAGTTTGTTGCTCGTTCTTCTCCATTCGAATGTACATTTTAGAACGAGCGCCTAGCTTCACTGACTGACAGACTATTATTACCTACTTAATTTTGTATTTGTTGACGTTTCAAAAGTACCAAATTATGATTTAATTTAAATAAATGACAAGGGTGCTTACTTTTGAAACCAATTTCAATGTCAATGCAATTTCAATAAAATATACTATACCTAATAATTAATATAGATAATATGGAGTTTGTTGCTCGTTCTTCTCCATTCAAATCTACATTTTAGAACGAGCGCCTAGCTTCACTGACTGACAGACTATTATTACTTAATTTTGTATTTGTTGACGTTTCAAAAGTACCAAATTATGATTTAATTTAAATAAATGACAAGGGTGCTTACTCTTGAAACCAATTTCAATGTCAATGCAATTTCAATAAAATAAAATCTCAATAATGATCTCAATGTCAAAATTATACAACCCCTACCGTAGCTGTTGCAGTAGCATTCAGAGTAGAATGTAAAGACAAACTCAATACATTTAGTTCATTTAATATCCACGCAATACGGATGCAATGGGCGCTAGTGTTGCAACTAGAAATTTCACAATACCAATGTCGATCGATTGGAATTGGATTCAAAAGTAGGCCCCCAGATGTTAATGTCGTACCGACAAACATCCAACCTATTTACTAAAGAAACAAATATATAACATTTTTATTAAATCTTTGTCCTTAGGCCACGTGAACCCGGTAACGATTCCCAAAGAATGGGTGACGATGCACCGCAACTGCCGCATGTCGGTGAGACAGCAGATACAGATGGAGGTCACCGCCTCCTTGCAGTACTTGGCTATGGGCGCACACTTCTCTAAGGATGTTGTAAGTAAAATATATTGTTCTAATATACTAGCTTATGCCCGCGACTTCGTACGCGCAATCCTGTTTTCTCCCATTCCGATTTCTGTCGTAAGAACCTTCTCCTGACAATAACAAACACAACAAAAAAAGATCAGCCAAATCGGTACAGCCATTCTCAAGTTACATGGCGTCCGCGTAACAACGGGAAACGGGTTTCATTTTTATAAATATAGATAGATTCGTTGGGACGACGTTTGAGCACTATCTCGCCTGGTGGTAAGCGATGATGCGGTCTACGATGGAGCACGTCGTCTCATAAGCAACCTATTCACTCGGGCCTTGAAGACACTCAAAATATCGACTAAGTTTACCTCTGTCTTGGGGTCTAAGATTTAACCATAAGACCATAATACGAAGCTGCTAATAATTTAAAGCTGAAGAATTTGTTTGTTTGTTTGAATGCGCTAATCTTCGTAACTATTGGAATTGAATATTAATTTTACGTTGAATAGTCCAATTCAATAATTGGACAATTGTCTAGTTTCCTATGTTTAAAATAAATCTTTTCAACTTTTCAATGCAATAAATAATTAAAAAAAAAAAATAATCAGACTCCCATGCATTCATTTGACAATTTACCTCCATTTGGATTTTTTCTCGCTAATTTCAAGGAAATAAGTATGCTATTTGACGCAGAAATATGATGACGTCACAAATTGCGATCCAATACAAAAATCATAGCAAAAGTATCGTTTTTGACATTTTAGTAAAAGTATTCAATTTGACTACCTGTCAACTACCGTATTCATCTTCCCCTGGTCCTAACTCGACAGAAAGGACCGATAGAAAAACCATGCTGAAGTAAAATCTAAAATCCTAAATCTTCCCCTTGGAACCATACTATCTATTTGTCCAATAGTCTGTAAACGTTTTCAAAGGGTATAATGTTTCCGAAACTCCAACCTCCCCCCCACTTCGCCCAAGGGTGGGCAACTCGCTCCACTAGTACTGTGTGGGTGTCACTATCGGTCGGGGGGGTCACTACATGGTCGGGGCTGATCACTTGCTCTCAGGTGACCCGTCTACCCGTTTGCTTTCTATCTTTTTTTTGAGGAGCGAAAATCATCCAATGCCTTCACCAGCCTTGGGTTAGGCGAGAGAGTGTGTGAAACTCTTACTGACTAATAACGTTCTTACTCCTGCTTTTCGAGCTGGAGCCCCCGCAACCGGTTAAGCCTTCCGCGGCTCCGTATCCTTCCGCTGCTCCGCATCCTTCCGCTGCTCCATACCCTTCGGTTGCTCCATACCCTTCCGCTGCTCCGTATCCTTCCGATGTTCTGTACCCTTCCGTTGCTCTGTATCCTTCCGGCGTCGGGGATCGCGAAACGATCTCCGGCCACCGTAAGCGCGGGCCTGCGGACGGCGAGCATGGGTGGCTCCCCGTCCGACCAGAAACAGACCCGAGCGTACGGCGCGTCGCGTTCCGCGCGCGCCTCAAAGAGCCATCAGACCACCACAGATGGGGCCCAATAGGGCCGATGCCGATTCGGAGTCGCGGAGAACCTAACGGGTAACCGGGGCTCCGGCTCGACGTGCAGGAGAAGGAACGGGGTGGTTTTTAGTCAGTAAGAGTCTGACACTCCCTTCCGCCTTACCCAGGCGGGAGCAGCCATTCGATGATTTTCCCCCCTTAAAAAAAAAAAAATCCTTCCGCGCCTCCATATCCTTCAGTTGCTCCGTATTACCCTCTATCCCTTAAAAAACCCTTCTAGAGTCTAGACCTTCCTTGTTTATTTTGTATAATTTGGTTGAAATAAATATTTTGACTTAAACTGTTTGTCTCCAGGTAAACCGTCCAGGTTTCGCCAAGATGTTCTTTGATGCTGCATCAGAGGAACGTGAGCATGCTATGAAGCTGATTGAGTACCTGCTCATGAGAGGAGAGCTGACCACTGACGTCACTACTTTGTTGCAAGTCAGGGTAAGTTGACAGGCTTTCGTTTTAAGGGAGTTTTCTTAACTGAGGATTCGATATCCGAAATGACCTACCAAGGGTCTTTCAATGTACAGTGTCCATAGTGATTCGTCTACTTGTTTGAGGTTAGGATAACCTCATATTCATAACTAACTATTCGAATTCTACTAAACTTCTGTCAAAAAACTAGAATCAATGCACATAGACATTTTTTTTTATTGTAAATCTGTTATTATTTTACGCCATTAGTAAGTAGTTGGACTTTTAACACTTCAAATTCGTAATCAAAAACAAATTATTTGGTATTTGCATTTTTGGCGAACGGGTTTCGGGTCTGTTTGTCGGATCAGGCAAAGTATTATTGAGTTATTCTTAATTATTTTATACCCGTTTAACTCGTCGAGTACCGTCATTATAGACACAATTATAGAACAATAGGTTGCGGTCACCGGTGACCGCTTGGTGTTTGACAGTTTAATAAAAAAAAGCCTGCAATTTTGATCTGATACTTTTTAGCATAACCTATTAATCCTTGTCTTGTCTTTAGGCCCCTGAACGTAAGACCTGGGAAGGTGGAGTGGAGGCCCTGGAACACGCGCTGCTGATGGAGAGCGCCGTCACCAAGAGCATCAGGAACGTCATCAAGGCATGCGAGGATGACAGCGAGTTCAATGATTACCACGTAAGTTATTATAGAGTTTTTGTGTCACATTGTGACTTGAACTAGGCAAGTGCTTAGGGCGCAAGATTACAGAGACAGTGCCGCGAGACGTACGCACCCATAGAGTGAGACAATGCCAAAAAATAAAGAGCGTCTATGAGGTCCTTGCCTAGGGCCTCTCTAGGTTTGATTCGCATCTGCTTGACAGTCCATTGTTGAATTATTATGAACCATAATCTCCTCGTCTGGCGAATGTTTAAAGAACCTCCCAAAGGTTCAGTGTTGATACTCGTTAAAGGCGTCGTCCCTTAGTCAACACTTACGATATCGACGGGAAGAATAGGGGTGATGACAAATATATTCTACGATGACGACCTGCGTAATTCGTCACTAATTTAAAAAAAAATTCACAGCTGGTCGACTACCTGACTGGAGACTTCTTGGAGGAACAATACAAGGGACAACGCGACATTGCGGGCAAAGCCTCCACCCTCAAGAAACTCCTCGACCGCCACGGAGCCCTCGGAGAGTTCATCTTCGACAAGAAACTCATTGGCATCGACATCTAAGCCAATCAATAAAACTATTTTCTATAACCTCTTTCTTTTGCCATGTATTATTAAAACAACACTCATTATTGTCTATTACACCTTTTTGACATAAGTGAAAAAAAAACATCGAAAAATAAATATGGCGTATCCAAATATTGTAATAGAATAAAATAAATGTAATCATGTTCCTTTTTTGCGTTTAAATTGGAATTAAATTGATAACCAAGTTCACAAAATACGTTATTTAGCTACTCCCGTAGGTTATTGTACAAAGATATTAGTGATTAAGCGTAATATCTTGTTTATATTTAGATTACAAAACATTTATACTCCACTATAGTTTGTATCCAGTCAATTATTCGCGCCTTTTTCTGACGTTTATGATAATCGCTACAAAATTCAATATGGCGCCTTGTAACGTTTTTTTAATTAAATTATTATAATCGTAATTTCATGAACTCTTTGGTAACAAAGGGTTTCTTTACAAAAATATGGCTGTTCATTATTTTGTTTAATTATTTCGTAAAATAAAGTTGATCCGTATAAAAAAGAATTGTTTCATTTTCGTCCATTATTGCTCCACTAAACGGTCTAGAACTTGATAATTCTTTGCTCAACCCGATACCTAATGAACAAGTAACTGCTACCCTCGACCAATGAGAAATAAAGAAAGAAATGCCGTATTATCTCTAAAGGGCGGCAAGTTATTGACAGCACAACTGCCCACAGAGTTGCGGCGGCGGCAAAAAAGTCAGGGGCGTCTACAAGTTACTTGCCTGGGGCGCTCTCTTTGCTCTATCCACCTCTGCAGAGGTGCACATTGTCCAATGTTATAAATGAATTATTTATTTCATACAACATAAACCGCTTTTCACCAGATAAGCTAAGAGGTCTTTGACGAAAATTTCGTTATTTTTCAGCTTATCCTTTATAGTTTTTGAGATATAAGTAAATGCGATATTATTGATATAGGCGCGTTCCGTCCTATAAACGCGTTCCGTCACAGTTACAATTACAATAGGTACACGTGAAGGTTCGTTCCCACCATGTCGAATCCCACCGTGAAGGACATGGGTGGAATGGTGAACACGGGAACGAATCAAACCGCTTGCTTAGCAGTCGCACTTGGGATCATATCACAACATAGTAAAGTTATTAAATTAATGTTAAAATAAAACGTGAGGATAATTTTAAATAACATTTATTTAAACTACATGCAATACGTAGGTAATTCAAATACCAAACTAAAGATCTAGCTAGAAAAAAACTTAAAATAATACGTACTGAAATTCATTACAAATAAAAATAAAACTTAAAAAATAATTGTAGACTAAAAAATCTCTAATCTACTAACGTACTCAATTACTTTTCCCGCGCATTTAAGTGTCAATGTCAGAGTGACAGATGGATTGGCAGGATCAGACTACCAAATAGATTAAAAATGAATAATTTTTTTAAGCTTTTTCAGGCGTTTTCTCCACTTTCTTTACTATTTTTGCTTCCGAATAATTTTTGGGTTTCGTTTCAGATTTTTTTATGCCTCGTTTCATGAGGAGCTCATGCGGAATCGGCATTTGTCCTTGTCTATCGACACCGGGTCCTTCCTTCAGTTTGAATCGGAAATCAGTCTTTCTATGAATAGTTTCCGACGGAATAAGCCGATTGTCTTGATTGTAGAAGTGAAAATCTCTGAAATTATATTTTTTGAACATTTGTGTTAAATCTACAATCTATAGTTTGTTAGGTAGGTACCTTAGCTAACGCAAATAAATATCTTTATCTTTAATATTTATAGCCTAAATCCTTTGTTCGACACTGGCACTCGCCCAACGAGGTAGTTATTTTTTATGAAATAGAGCATTGAGTTATCTCAAAAATATAGGGCGGCAAACTGGCCTACTGGTCACCACAATCACTCAATCGGTGCGCGGCACTGTTTATTTTACACCACAGACATAATTATATACTTATACGTCTGAATTTTACGCCCACAACACAAGTGCGTTGTCAGTCTTTTGAGAATTTAAGGTTTCGGAATGGGGAGATTATATTACATAATATATTAAAATAAACAACTAAGTATTTACTGCTATTACCTCACACTAATAAACGTAAAAGGTTCAAATTTCCGTTGATCAAAGTTTTGGACGTAGGAGCGCCATCTACACTGAAGTAACTCATTGGAAGTCAAAGAATAATGTTTCTTATATTTATATTGGAAAAGTTCTTTTTCGAACATCGGCAGGACTCGAAAATTCTTGCCGACAGATTCTGCGAATTCTGGAAGATGAAGATGAATATTTTTTATTATTTTATAACAAAGTAAAACTGCTCAGTTGATGTAGTAAGTAGATAGGTACTGGCTCGGCTACACTGTGCACTGCACAATGCATTATGCATTATGCATTATGCCAATGCACAATGCATTGTGCAGTGCACAGTTTATGTCACAGGCCACCGGTACTATTCGAGGCTAGTCACAGGCCACAATGACCGTATTATGTAGCCTGTAGGTAGTAAGAGCCTTTATTCCGTCATGCTGTGAACACGTTTGATGAATTTCCAGCCCTGCAAATAGGTAATGCTGGAACTATAGCAAAGACTTGCTAATAGAATTTAAGAATTCAATGTATGTGTGATTGTCAAGAAGTTTGTACTTCTTACCTCGATCTACCGTTCGTTCGGGAGATCCTCTTTTCATTGTACATTCTGGATAAGCTCCCTTCATTTTGTCTAATTAACAAAATATAATAATTGGATACTAAACAAAATGTTACCAGTGACACTTAAAATTATTGGAAATAACGACAACGATGCTATAAGAATTTAGTTTTCTTTGAATCTTTGAATTATTGTACGTCATTGTCAAGTATATCAAAGAGGTTTTATTTTCAGTTTTTGTTGTAATAAGCTTGGCCATACTTATTATACTCTTTGGGCTGGCCCCTTAGCCCCCTATACATATTATTATTTTTTAACTGCCTCGTTGGCAGAGTGGTCGCAAGCGCGACTGTCGGGCAATGGGTCTCGGGTTCGATTCCCGGGTCGGGCAAAGTATTACTGGGTTTAAAAAAAAATCTCAGTAGTAGCACGGAGTCTGGGGTTTTGCCCGGTATATGGCAATAGACTCACCCCCTATTACATGAGACTCATAACATATAGTGAAAAGTGGGTGTCACATTGTACCTACAGTGGCATAATGTGCGCCTCTGCCTACCCCTTCGGAGATAAAAGGCGTGATGTTATGTTATTTTTTGGGCTAGAATCTGGAAGAAATGATTGACACATTATTATTTTGTACTATTTCTGATCTTTTTAAACTGCAGAAAAAAGAGAGACAAATAAAAATATTCCAAATAATAACAATATACCGATTCCTTTTAACTTGGAACTGCAATTATTATTAAATTATTATTCAAGTTTAAATTCTGAACCCTGGACTCCGGACCTCGAAGTCAGAATAGAATCGTCTGACAGGCCACAACATCATTATGCTAACCAGGGTCTGTCGACTTACTTCTGCGAACGTAATGTAGGGGGGTATAGAAATTAGAAAGAGACAGCAACATCAGAGTGAAAGAGATGAATTCCATAATGTTGCCATTTAACAAGTGATTAAAATATTACTAGGTATTAGTTTTACATACACCAAAACAATTGGCTCTGTAATTTATTTTTATCGTAGTTATGTGACCATTATTTCGTACCTGGCGTTTTGGTATGAATTACAAAATTTTAATTAGAATATGCATTAAAAAACACTAATGGTATTGGAGATACGGTTGCCATTAAAAAAAAAAACACCGGTATCTGATTTTTTTACTTTTTATTAGGTGTGTGTTGTGAGATATAGACTCCATGTTGAGACAGTGACTCTTTGAATTTGTGTTTAATTGTCGTGATGAGTTCGCGTAAAGAAAACTAACTAAAAACTAAAAAACTCATTGGTTCTTGTAAAATAATACACAGCTTTGCCTCAATTAATACCAGCGTGACTGTTGTTACAGCTCTTTGTTGTTATCATGTTGTTTATCATAGTAACAATATTTCCTAAAAATGAATCATTGTTCATTATATAATTTCTTTTTAATATTATTCTTCACTTTCTAATTAAATCTGTAAAATATTGTTGTACTCAATCTGTTATTGTGCAAGTACTTTATTTTGTATTCAAGTATAAATAATTGTTGATGGGCCTAATAAATAAAACAATATAGCTGTATCCCGATCAATTAATATTAAGCCAAATAAACAGTGTGAAATACTTCTGTTTGTTTTTATTTATCTCCTCTAGGTATATGTAATGATTTGGTCATTTTATACACAAGTACACTGTATTTCTCGATATTGGTTATATGTATACTGATCAAGATGTTAAAGGTAATTATCGAGAAATGCACTGTACTTGTGTATAAAATGCTATACAAAGAATAAGTCGATACAAAGAATATACCGCGTGTTTTGAAATTCCCGCCCTGGTTTCTTTTACCTAGTAGTAGGAGGGCAAGGCATAGATGGCGTTCGTCGGTAAGGTAAAATTTCCTCGCGAAATTTGTATGGAGTCGTTATTCTTCCCTTAGGGTATATATGTTCTGTGATGCTAACTAAGTTACATGAATCTGAATCTAGGGATGGAACGTTTGTTGACAGAATGTCAAAAAGCTGTCAAAATCGATGTAAATAAAAAAGTTGTTGATCGATTATTGAAATAAAATAATATAAAAAAAATAATTTATCAATTAAAAGTTATTGTTTGTTCATGAGAAATCATATAAAGTAGTCATATATTCATTCTGAAATGGATACAAAGATGAAAAACGTAGTGGATGACATACAATCAAGCGTTATTTGCCGATGCTGTTTGGACTCTGGTTGTTTTCAAAATATGTCATCGGAATATTATAATTCTGGACAAAAGGAAGTCTATGAAGATATGTTAAAGTCTACATTTGATATTCAAGTAAGACTCCAAATGTTTTCATTGATAATCTTTGAAAAAAAAAACGGATCTTTGTTGCGCACCGATAATTTTTACGCAATACTTTTGAAAATGTTCTATAATTTTTAAATAGCATAGAGACCTAAAAGAGTCATAGAATGATTCATCTAATTTATGACATTTCAAAAATGGTACTTTTTTTTTTTAAATGGTACTTATACGGCTAATATTTAAAAAAAATATATCAAATCAAATCAAATCTTATGCTTACTTACAGGTTACAGAAGTGCCACAGACTACCAAACACTATATATGTGAACAATGTATCACACGACTACGAGATGCAACAACATTCAAACAGATGGTACTACAAAATGAAGAACATTATTTACAGATGATTAGAAGTATGAAATGGGAACCGGAGACAGGTATCACATCAATATCATACTAATAGTATAAATGCGAACGATTGTGAGTTTGTGTGTACGTTTGTAACTCAATTGAGTACTTGCCTTAACTCTTACATAACATCACGCCTTTTATCCTTGAAGGAGTTGGCAGAGGTGCACATTATGCCACTGTACAATGTAACACCCACTTTTCTCTATTTATGTTATGAGTCCCATGTAATAGGGGGTGAGCCTATTGCCATATACTGGGCGCAATTCCAGACTCCGTACTACTACTGAGATTTTTTTTAAAACCCAGTAATACTTTACCCGACCCAGGAATCAAACCCTTAACTCTTTCAGTCACAGTTTTAAGTGATGGGCCGACATTTGGCCATTATTTTGCCATCTTTTAATCTGAAAAGAGCCCTTTCAATGTTTGAAATTTGAAAAAATTTTCGCCCGTTGACTGCACAGTTGGCGCGGTGGTTGGGCATCTGGCTGCCGCGCAACTTGTCGCGGGTTCGCTTCCCGCACGGAGCAACTCTTTGTGCTTTGTGTGATCCACAGATTGTAGTTCCTGGTCTGGGTATCATGTATATGTTAACTTGTATGTTTGTAAACGCATCCACGACACGGGAGGAAACGCAAGTGTGGCGCAACTTTTTTTTTTTAAAAAAGTAATTTTACACAATCATTTCACAATCATAATTTCAAACAGGAAATAAACCACAATTTAAGATTTTAAAATCCAATCAAAAAGCATTTACGCACAGAGGCAGATTAAACCTAGTGAGCGCCCTAGGCAAGCACCTCATTGGCGCCCTTAATTACTTTTGTCCCCGCCGTCACTCTATGTACAGTTGTGCACGCACGTCTCGCGGCGCCCCTCTGTAACCTGGCGCCCGGCACTTGTCTAGAGCGCCTTAGGAATAATACGACTCTGTTTACGCCTTAGTCATACTCAAGACTTGAACTTTTGAGGTCCCATACTTGGCACACATTACTTCTTAATCTCTTATTAAAAACTAGCGGACCCCGCGAACTATAGAACTTAATTTCGCTTTACATTTTTTTTCTAACATAAAAAGTTTCTCCTAACAATAACAAAGTCAACAAAAAAAGAATTAGCGAGATTTGTGCTTAACAAGTCAAGTCCCGAGTGAACAAGTTGCTCATAGATAGGCGTGGTCCTTCGTCGGCCACAACATCGCTTACCACCAGGCGAGGGTGGCCAAACGTCGACCTATCAAGTATAAAAAAACAACACATTGTATGTATATTTATCATTTTTTTCAGCTTCAACAGATGATGTCAAATCAGATGACGTTAAGTATGAACCACCAGATCTGGAGTTTAATGATGATATTTATGATGAACATGATGATGATGGTAAGCGTATATTCACGGTTTTTTTTAGCTCCTCCCCAACAATCCTTAAATTCCTAATCCCCAAAAGGCCGACAACGCACTTTTAACGCCTCTGGGGTGGCGTGTGTCAATGTGCGACGCCGATTGCTTACCATTGGGTGATCCGTCTCCTCGTTTACCGGACTTTGTCGCGGAGAACCTAACGGGTTACCAGAGGGCCAAGCACGAATAACTATCGCATTCGCATCGAGCGAGTTAAGCGTTCTGAGTACCAAGCACGAATAACTATCGCAATCGTAACGTAATAGTATCGAGTGCGTTCGGCGCTCTGATTGGCCGGCTCGAGTGAACCAACCAATCAGAACGCTTACTTCGCTCGATACTGTTACGATACGAATGCGATAGTTATTCGTGCTTGGCCCTCAGATTGGTTGGTTCACTTGAGCCGGCCAATCAGAGCGCCGAACGTCCTCGATACTATTACGTTACGAATGCGATAGTTATTCGTGCTTGGCACTCTGGGCTCTCCGGCTCGACGTGCAGGAGAAGGAACGGGGTGGTTTTTAGTCAGTAAGAGTCTGACACTCCCTCCCGCCTCACCCAGGCGGGAGCAGTCATTCGATGATATTCCCCTTAAAATAAAAATACCCATAAACAAACTTGTCTAAACTTAGTCTAAAGATGCTGCCGATCTTAATTAGTTTGTAAACAGATCTAAATATGGCGTAAATCTTAATTTTTATTGGATGGATTTTTATTAACACAAGTGTTCTGTTTCTAATTTCAAAATGGCAGTCTGTTCTCTGTACATACATTACGCAAAAAATGCGCTACAAATATGTGGGTAGTTTTGTTTCAGCCTTACTAAAATATTTTTTTAACAATTGTATTTTTTACAGAATTCCTAGATGATGTAAAAAACGAGATAACACAGAAGAAAACCATTTTGGAAACTGAAATAAAAATCACTAGATTGAGAAAAACTAAAAAGAAAATAAATAATGGTGAGTTAGTTATAACTCATGTTATAGGTTACTATAGAACATTTTAAATATCAGTCCCCATATATCAGTCGTATTAATCGGAGACCCAATCCTAAATGTAGTAGTTGTGACGTGTTAAGACTGGTTAAGATCATAATAAAACTAACGAGTTTTTATTTATATTCCAGATTGGACGAAAATAGCAGAGCGGCGCGGTAACGGACCAATTTTACGAGATAATTCATTAA